TATAAGAAAAAACTAATCACGGAGTAAAAAACAGTGGAATGTTTTCAATGAGCATTGAAAAATCACAAACAGAGGTAAACATAGAATATGTCAGGAAAACATTGGTTATTTAGAAGTATAATTACAGGTAACTGTTTGATGAATTATAAAAACAATCTAATAATAAAACTTTTTTCATATGATTTACACTACGCTTCCGTCATGTGTGTATACGTATATATTTCGTAAGTGCTAGACTGTGATTCGGGGAAAAAAAAAAAAAAAAAAAAAAAAAAAAAAAAAAAAAAAAAAGGCTAATCCTATAGATTCCTTTTGAAAGTGATTGCAATAAAAAAAGATGGAATCAATTATATACTTTTTTATTTTGATAGGAGTAATACTTAAATGGTCTTAATGCTCTTAACAATTCAATTTTGGGGTTTAAGTACGATTTTCAATGCAAAGGTATCTCAATTTCAGATGTAAAGAAAGTGTTAGCATTCTGTCACATTTTCCTCATTTTAACATTCTAGTTTGTGAGCACCTGATTGTATGATATAATGAAAACGAACTGATTTTGGATAAGAAATAAATATGGTGCAGTGCTTTAAGATATCAGTGAAATAAACTACAGAAATCTATGCAAATGAGAAAGATCCACCTACTCTGGATAGATGGGAAAGCCGCTAGCCAAGATAACGGCGGATCTCCAAGCAGCTGAGAGGAAAGTAGAAAGCATAGAAAGCAGGAAAAGAAAAAAGAAAGGATTTAATAGCACAAAAGTAGAAAAGTACATGATTAGAGAAATTGCATTTTCTCACAAGAAACTTTAGTGAGAATCCCGAGAAATTTCGACAGGATTGTAACGCAATTTGCATAAATTTAAATTCTGCGAAATACTCGTAGCAAATGACATAATTTAAATGAAAATTATTTCTATTTAATGTACTAATCCTTTCTTACATGTATTATTTTGAAACCATCACTTCACCTGCTGGTATAATAAAAAATAACGATGCATCTTTTTCAAATGTTTGTATTATGTCATTATACCGTATAATGTTATACCGTTATAATTCCATAACTTTGGTTTAAATTTGTTTTAAAACTATAGCAAACATTATTTCATTTTATACGAAGGAAGCTTGCATTACTTTCACTACTTATGTACACAAAACAACCAAAACATTAAAACCACTACAGTTCCAATTCAGATTTGAGAGCTCGCTGGCAATGTATGGTACTTTCTAGTCTCTAAAAATATAATTATTTCCCGAATCAGAATCCTGTCTAGCTTCATTCCAAACATTGCTAGATTGCTACAGCAAGACGCACTAAGAGCATTTCTTAAATACCAGTTTGTTACGCTATACAAGTTCTGCAGTAGTTAATGTTTTATAAAGATGGCTGAAACAGATAACATTGCGAATCGTCAGTAACATATTGGATGGCAAAACCTCAATGATACTTCAGATCAACATCTTATCTGCAATGAAAAAAGGAATACTGCAACCTTACTTGTAAATTTAAACTGAACAATGTGTTCGTTGCTTTCTAACATATTGTTTGATATGAACGCTGTTTGATATGAAACTCTGATTCCTCAAATTGATATCTTTACAAATTCGTGTGCCTATGCTCAAAGCCTTTCGTAATTGTAAATGCCTGCAAACAATATATATCACCAACTCTGGATCATCGATGGTTGGAAGACATCGTAATCGTACGAATCCTGTTTTATTATTTTACCATGCGATCGTGCAATCTAATACTTTGCATTTATCTACGGATTTTTCCATTCATCCTAATCAATGATCAATCAATGTAAGACCAATGAAAGGTTACAAGGATAATAATAAGAATTTTCTTTGATTTCATAACTCCTAAATTCATCAAATATAAATCAATAGAGTGTTTGTTGCCGAGTTGAATAAAGGTTAGGAAAATTATCTCGTCAACCTCTAACTTACTGGAATTTAGTAATGTTATGCTAAAATTAAGAAAATATCACACACGTCATTAAATCTATGGCTTTTCGTGTGAGAATTCTAGTGAATAATGAAAGATGGCTTACATGACATTAGGCAACTCATGATAATGTTTCGTATCATTATGCATATCTGATCTGTTTGCTGACGTCAAAAATACACAAGTTGAGGAAAATTCTGTGCTACTACTGATTTCTCACTTCGAATAGGTTGCAAGAAAGAGTATGCACGACTTATGTCAGAGTGATGGAATACAGTCACCAAAAGCTCTCGAGTTCTCAGCTCTTTCTCAAAATATTCATAAACATATGCAGCACAGCTCATCGCTGACGCCCTACCTCTTTTGAGCTTGGTCCTTTTCCTTCTTACTGTTTTGAATGTAATGATGCAGACCTATATCAATGTGACAGACTATTAAGTCCTTAACCATTAAGTAGATAACCTAAGTACGAAAAAATATCATCTGAAGAAGCCTGCCGTACGGACTTACATGGTCACCATGAGCCGAAAACACTCATCACAACTGGACACCAATATAATATGTAATAGAAAAGTATTCTTGCGCAAAGAAATATTCTGCAGCATCAAGCTATATGTATGCCGTTCTTTCTTTCTTTCTTTCTTTTATTATTATTATTATTATTATTATTTTTTTTGATGGTAGTATCGATAGTGGTTAAGACCTGTTAAAAGCATGCCTAACATTTGTATGTGTATTTGTCTACATATAGAAATATTTTAAAAAATCATATTTTTGATATAGTGTAAAATATATGCAATAGTACAACATAAAGCTCTACCATCTGTAGAACTTCCTTCATTATTATACAGGCAGTTGTAAATACTATGTATTTCGGATATTTTGTTAAGCGCCGGCATAATTTACTATCTGTATGTTTTTTAAGTTATACTAACTAATATACATTAAACGTTAAATTCATTAATTTACTTTTTAATTTATTTATTTGCTTTTGTTCTCATACCCTGAGATACGTTTTATATCTTACTGAAGGAATTATGTACGGGTACTTACATGTAATATTGGATTTCTTAATCACATGTTACAACATGCTAAATGTGTAATACTTTATCATGTCAAAATCGTAAAAACAACCTTGTATTTAGCGTAATTCTTCCATAGGTGAATTGGATTTTCTTGAGGCTTTTCATATTCACAAAGATTTAGCATGTTAGTTAATGATTTTAAGTCCAATCCAGTCCTTCCTAATGCCTTTAAAATTCTACTATCTTAATTCAGTTACTATTTTTGCCAATAGATGGTGATACCTCCTCGCGTTTGGTACTACCAGAGGGTATAAAAATCCGTTCAGTGGTTGCTTCTCATTATTCGAAGTTCAGATTTTGAACGTGAAGGTGCAGTTGCCCCTCGCTCCCTATTTTTAGCTAATTTTCTTGTCCTTTTTGTTACATGTTTGATCAGATAGCCTGGCTCAGTAAAAGTAGGCGGCCAGTGTAACTCTGATTAAAAATCTGGCTATAACCACGTGCAGTGCTGATAAGGACCACGTGTTTCTGAGACTCCTTCCCCTTTATTTTTCTTCTTTCTCCTGATGAGGAGAGACCTTTAGCTGCCCTCGAAATCGATTGAGTGTTTCAATATACTTACGCTAAATACAAGGTTGTTTTTACGATTTTGATTTTCAATATACTTACGCTAAATACAAGGTTGTTTTTACGATTTTGATTTTCAATATACTTACGCTAAATACAAGGTTGTTTTTACGATTTTGATTGTCACATTAGCGTGTTTCTCTTCTAGTCTACTTTATCATGTGCCTCAATTTGGGCAATGTGTTAGGTGTATGAGGCCTAATACATTGCATACGCTTTCATATCTGACTGCACATCATTAATAAAAAATATTTTTCTCGAATATTTTAATGGTAATACTTTCGCTTTACTCATTTCATTTTATAGATTTACAGGAGCTGATATTTATAATTATTGTTTTTCAGAATACCTATAGATCCATTCTCAGTACATTTAATTTTTTATGCCTTCAAAAATATATAATTTCTTCCTTTGACTTCAAAGCTAGATCAGTTGCTACCATTTAGTTTGATTAATTTTGCTGGAAAAATGATGTTGCTGATAACTTCGACGGGAATGTTATTAGTTTCTAAATTTTTCACTGATAGTGATTGCGTGAGTAACCGCTATTGACTGCTTTTTGTTTGTTTATTTAAAAACTGTGTGTGCTTTTAATTGCTATTTATTTATTTAATTACTCATTGACTTTTTTAATTGTTGTTTATCGATTTAAAACGGACTGATTGTTTTTAATTACTCTTTATTATTCGGAACTGTTGAATCAAATTCTTTCCCTGCAACAAAATAATGGAACATTTTTATGTCCCGCCACCCCGACGATTTCATAATGTTGCCGGCAACTTTATGCAAGTTGGGGACTATTCACTCAAACGAAGATGTCGGCTTCTTGATAAAGATTACATACTTCATAGTAAAATTGAACTCGCTAAGGGTGCCAGCACCATGGCATCTTGGCAAACAACAAACAATTTAACCGTCAGCTCAACCGCTTTGGTCAGATCAATCTCATCCGCGCTGTCCGCAGCTGAGAATTTTCTGCATTCGCTATTGGACAATTTTTACCTTCCCAGTTAAACAATTTCAATATTTGTAAAGTGGGATATTAGATCATTTTCTGCATTCTCAGAGCAAGCCTCTTTTCGTAATTGTTCCGAAACTGAATTTCGCTTATTATACTCTTTATTTAAAATATTAAGAATATTATTAAGAATTAATATTTAAGAACTAATTAAGAATGTAATATTTTATATTATATTCTTTATTGCTTTATGTGAAATTGAATTTCGCTTATTATATTCTAAGAAAAAGTCAAAGAATTAACACTTTTGACATTTATCTCATGGCAAACGCTTTTACACGATTTATTTGATTAAAGATAACAGATCTCTTAAGATAAATAAATCCATTCAGAGAGATAATCATTAATAAAAAGCGAACATCATTGTGAAAGGCCATGCTTACTTTTCTTGTCAACGAAAGGCAGCTCTTCTTTCTTCTTGAAATCTCCGTTCGTTTGCATTTCAGTGGTGCCACCAAAGTCATAGCTATCCACCGGCCAGTGTTGTTCGATAAGGAGCTTGTACACCCATGCTCCAATGATGGCCCCTACATGTGGTCCAAATATAGGTACCAAGAAATACACGTAACCTCGGTAACTGAAAAGAAAACAAACATGCGTAATCGGTTGCCATCATTCCATTATATGCTGAAAGAAATTACTCATTTTGCATTTAAAAGTCATATTTTAATTTCAGCGTAATTTCAGACGTAGATCATATACTGAATACTGAAATATAGCATTCAAAATTTTTTATAATTTATTTTTCCTCTATTTTAACCCTTGCTGTGAAAAATAAATCTAATATAATTATTCCTAGTAATAAAATAATTTATCAAGAAAGTGTTAATCGGTAATTCTCATAATAATTAGGAAACTTTATTGAGATATTTTGGAAGAAAATATTTCTTGTAAATTTTTTTTATTTTAAATGAAAATATATCACAAGAATATATTTGCTTGTTAGCAAAGTATATTAATAGCTCATCCATATCTGAAATGAACAAACTAACGACAAATTAACAATAAATTAACAACAAATTCTGTTATAAATTTATTAATTCATAATTCAGAAGTCAAACAACAAAAATCAGCGTTATACCTACAAAAGTTCCTTAGTTATAGCTTTTAATGTGGTGCGGAATTCAGTAAATTTTCAACATTTCCATGTAATTTCCATTTTTTATAACATCAAAGTTAATTAAACACATCAAAGTTAAAAAAACATGCACAAGAAAAAAGCTATAACTTTTTGTAGGTATAACGCTGATTTTTGTTGTTTGACTTCTGAATTAGTATTTATTCGGCGTGTTATTGTGTCTTAATTATTAATTCATATTTTTAAAGATGGTAAAAGTACACGAAATATCCAAAACAATTCTTGATGTTAAGTGTTTAATTAACTTTGATGTTATAAAAAATGGAAATTACATGGAAATGTTGAAAATTTACTGAATTCCGCACCACATTAAAAGCTATAACTAAGGAATCACAGATTTATTTTAGGTAAAATCAAACACAATCCAAAAATTAGACATGAAAAGTAACAGCGGATTTAGAAGCAATAAAAATTAACCCTGATGCTTTCAAGAGGATGATTTCGGACACATGGATGCAACAGATGATGATCAGCAAGAAGGAAATTCTTCGTCAACAAGAAAATAAAGAAAATAAGCTTGGTGTGTGCAAAAGCTATAGTGAACAAAATTCTATCATATTGGAACATTTTTGCTTTTGCTGAAAAGTCAAAATTTAATATACAGTGAAAATCGTTTAACACGAAACTGATATATACATTTTCGTGTTAAAAGAATTTCGTGTTAAAGAATATTGAAAAAAGAAAAAACACATATATTCAAGAAAATTAAGTTTATTAGAGTACATTGTTTTACACAGATATGCATACATGCATGTATATAATAAAAATAAATGAAACAAAAACATGCACAAGAACTTAATGAAAGTTAATACAATATTTTCAAATTTTTTGGAAAACAAAACATTTACTAAGTTTTTGGAAAATAATCTGATATTTTTCTTTGCATTGTCTTTTTTAGCATCAAATTGTTCAATGTCGTCCATTTTGTTATTCATTTCACCATTGGAATGTGCATTTAAAATAACTGTGCATACTTTTTATGATGTTTCTCATTTCGGATGACGTCGAAACAGAAGCTGTATTATTCATTTCATTTTCGTCGCCGGAATCTGTATCAATGATATTTTTTGAGCTTTGAACAAACTCCAAAATGTCTTTGTATGCCATAATTGGGGCTGTACACACATCATCACCAACTATTGCAACGAATTCTTCGGATAATACAGTAGGACAGTCCATTAATACAGAAAGTTTCTCGAACATTTCAATAAGTGTAGGCTCAGTTTAAATATCCTCCTTCTCCATTTCTTTTGGCGACAAAGAATCTGATACTTTTGAGAATCGTGCATGACGAAAACAATTTTCATTCGTCCTTGGAGTCACTGAATTCCATGTAGAGGGCAACATATGAAGAGACAGAGACTTTCAGAGTGTGACATATGAACCAAACTCACAGATTTTTACTCACACTGCTATGTACTCGTTACCGAATTCCAAAGACAACTGATGAGAGATGAGGTGTTTGTGTGGCGTTTGTAGGGGTTGAAGGAGAAAGTAGCTTAGATAAACAAAACTGGCTCGTGTCGTAGGATATTCCGAGGATATTCCAAAGCCAAGTTAGCCTCCTTTCTACGAAACATATGAAACCATCTCTCTTTCATTTCACACTCCCCCCTCAGGGGGCTCACTTCTGTGAGTACGAGTGTGGCAATCCCGAGGTACCCTAGCCCTTCAGGGGATCATCTTCTTGGTGAGAGGGGTCACGATCCTGGAGCCCCGTGATCTATCCTCTTTTCCGTCTTCTCCTCTTTGCTGGAACTTTTCCCTTCTCTTCCCTCGTGGTTTCTCTCTACGGAGTTGGGGCTCGTCACGAGAGACTGGAACAGACCTTGTCTCTTCTCGAGTGGCGAGAAAACTGCCCACGTGTTTGCCGTGCGTGGAGACCCGTGTCGCTGGAAAGGAGGGTCCTGGTAGTTGAGGGCGAGGTACTGTCCCCAACACACTACTTTGGCCTCTGCTTCAGCTAAACGAGCACCTAGTCGCCTCACGGGTGTCAATCGGTGGTCAGTCCTTGTGTCGTGGCTTGGGGTCAAGCTCTCGGGAGTACCTGCTTCGGGAAAGCCGACGTGGGGCTTCAGTTTGCGTATAGGTCCGGCTCCCTAACACAGGGAATCTGTGTTCCCTTGTTGGGCTCGTGGTGGGCGGG